GGCGGGGTGGGCATGAATCTTCCTGGTCGCGGGCCCTCCCTGAGGCCAGTCAAGCTACCCCCTCTCGGGGGGCAACCCATCGCGCCGACGATCTCTCGAGAGGGAGTGTCGGAGTCGGCGGGTTCCTCCAGGAGGAGGTGAAGACCACAGCGTCACGGGTCGTGGCTGGTCGACCTCCGGCCTTGAGACAAGGAAAAAACGAACGAACGAGTTGTCTCGTTCAGTTGTCCCCCCACCGCGTTGCGTCTGTCAGGCCTCCAATGGCTGATCCTGGGCCCTGGAATTAGAATAATGAAGAACTTCTTCATTAAAAATTCTGAGGTCCTCCCGACCGTTTTGGTCCTCCCCCCTTGCAGCGCATGCGCCCCCCCGTCCCTGGCGCGCTCCGCGTGGACCTTTGAACATTTGGCAGGAAGTTGAGCATATGGGGCTGCATTCACATGCGGAACATCTGGAGGCCACCTGACGGATACACACTCGCGCATCTCCGCTTGAGGACCCCGCCGCAGACGGCCGAACGCTGCAGAGACATCCGGGTCTCGCCCATGTCGGCCACGTCATGCGCACCCCATTTCCTGGGTCGCTTGTGCCTTTTGCTCCTTCCTCTTAAGGGGGCACCACAGGGACGCATTCGGCATGAAGAGCCCTCTCCTGGGGGGGAGGAGGAGGAGGAGGAGGAGGAGGAGGAGGAGGGAGGAGGAGGAGGAGGAGGAGGAGGAGAGGAGGAAGGGGAGGAGGAGGAGGAGGAGGAGGAGGAGAGGAGGAGGAGGAGGAGGAGGAGGAGGAGGAGGAGGAGGAGGAGGAGGAGGGAGGAGGAGAGGGGGGGGGGGGGGCTTGCCGAGAGGCCCGAGGGCCCGCCGCCACGACAGCCTACGTTGGCGACGCTGGACGCCTGGGCAATGGCACCTCTCCGCCGGCCCCCTGGCCCGACACGTCCTCCCGAGTGCCCCGGGGGGCCTCCCGGCCTGGGCCGCGGACGGAGGCCTCCGCGCCGTCGGCCCGGACAGGCGGCCAGGGGGAAGGGGCCCCGCCGAGGCTGCAGGTGCCGTGTCGGGGAGGGAGGTCGGGCGCGCCTTTTGTTCACACTCGGCGGCCAGCCCTGGGGGGGGGGGGCGGGGGAAAGGGCGGGCCTTCTCTCAGAAGGCTCGGAAATCCCCTGGCCTTCGGAAGAATCCCACCAGCCCTCTGGGCGTAGGTGGTTTAAGGAACTGTGTTTTCTCTCTTCCAGAACCCTTCCTTCCTTCCCCTGCTCGGGGAGGGGGTGGTGCCCCTCCCCCGACCCCCTTCCCCGGGCCTGGGGAGGGGGGGGCGACGGAGGGGGTAGAGCGTCCAAGATGGCCCCTCCACCGCGGCAGCCGCACTGCCCCCCCCCCCCCGACCACCACCGCGGCGGCCTCTCTGGGAGTTCCGGCAGTTGGCGGCGGCCGAGAGCACGCATGTTTGACGGGAGAGGGGCGTTCCCGCGCGCCGCTGCCATGGGAAGGTACCGACGGAGATACGTCTGGAGTCTGGAATGCGTACAAGCCACGACCGCACCCTTCCGCGGCTTTCCGGGGTGCTACAAACAGCTCTCCAGACCTGTGGGCCTGCACTGCTTGAAGCCTCGGTTGGGGCTTCAATGCAAAGGTCATGTCAATGTTCACGGGCCCTCCCGGAAGGCCAAAGTCCGCCTACGCCCCCGTCACGGGTGTCATTAGACGCCTCGGGATGTCCCCGAAACCCCGAGACCGCAGGAGGCTTCAGACAACGACACCCAATTAGCCTGGCGAGGGACCCAAACCATACACAGCTTCGAATACCGCGAGACAGGTGGGAAGTAAGGGCGGGGGCTAGCAAAAGGACTAATGCGTGCGGGAGAAGGACAGGGCAGGTTGCCAGACGGGTTGCATCAGGATGTAGCCCCTTACGGTTGATCTGCACGTCTGTCGGCGCGGCCCTGGAGAACAGCAGGCGGCGGGGCCTTCGGTAGAGCTCCATATGAGGCCACGAAGCGTATGAAAAGTGTGGCGAAATGGGCGCGGTCACGCCGAATGCGATTCCTGCCACTGGTGCCTCCGTGGAACTCCTCATGGACCCACGAAGCACGTGAGGGGTGCGCCGACATGGGCGCGGTTACGCATGCGATTCCTGCAGCTGGGGCCTTCGGTAGACCTCCCTTTGTGGCAACGAAAGATGCGAGGGGTACGCCGACAGTGTGTGGAGAAGGCATGCGAACCTAGCCGCTGGAACCTTAGGTGGAGCCCCGCTACGGGGTCGCAAGAGAGTGTAAGGGGTGCGCAGATCTGGTGTGGAGGAGGCGTGCGAACGCAGCCACCGGGGACTCCGGTGAAGTTTCCTACAGGACCTCGACGCATATGAAGGATGCGCCGGGAAGGCGCGGCGAAGGCGTGCGAACCCAGTCGCTGGGGCCTCAGGTGGAACTCCCTTCTGCGCCACGAAGCGCGCAAGGGGTGCGCTGACATGGCGCGGGGAAGACAAGCCAACGCAGCCACTGGTACCTTAGCTAAAGATCCCGATGGGGAAACGAAGCGTGTGATGGGTGCGCCGAGACGGCGTGGAGAAGGCATGCGAAGTCGGCCACTGGGGCCTTGCGCACCCGCCGAAATAGTGTGGGGAAGGCGTGCGAACGCAGCCACGAAGCGCGTAAAAGGTGCGCGGAAATTGCAATGGGAAGGCATGCCTACGTAGCCACTGAGGCCGCCTGTGGAACTCCCAGCTCCCTACGGGGCCACGAAACTTGGAAGGGGTGCGTCGACGCTGTGTGGAGAAGGCATGCAAACCCAGCAACTCGGGCCTTCGGTGGAGCCCCCAGCCCGCCTGGCTTCGTCGGGTGCAGCCCTCGCCGCAGGCGGCGGAGGGCGTCCGCCTGGAAGTCGGACGTCACGCGGTGCAGGCACGGCTCCATGATGATGATGATGATGATGCTGATGATGATGATGATGATGCTGATGATGATGCTGCTGATGATGGTGATGATGATACTGCTTATGATGATGATGACGATGCTGATGATGCTGATGATGATGGTGGTGGAGGTGGTGGTGATGCTGATACTGGTGATGCTGCAGATGACGATGATGGCGATGATGCTTATGATGGTGATGGCGGCGGTGTGATGAAGATGTTGATGGTGGTGATGACGATGTTGGTGGTGATGATGATAAATACGATGATGACGTTGATGACGATGGTGCTGATAATGATTATGATGATGCTATGCTGTTGGTTATGATGATGAAGACGACGATAAGGATGGTGTTGCTGATGTCGATTGTGATAATGCTGATAATGACGGCAGCATTATGACCACGGTTTTGATGAGCAGGATGAGTACAAGGGAATACACCAACTATGTCGATGTGGTTGGGATGATGATGATGATGATGATGATGATGCTGATGATGACGATGATGATGATGATGGTGGTGGTGGTGCTGATGATGTCGATGCTGATGACGACAATGTCGACGGTGATTACGATGATGACGACGATTATGATGGCGATGCTCATGATGGTGATGATAGAAATTATGATGCAGATGATGATGGTCGTGATGAGGACGACGATGAGGATCATGATGGTGATGCTGGTGATGACGATGCTGATGATGGTGATGATGCTGGTGATGACGATGCTGATGATGATGATGATGATGATGATGATGATGATGATGACGATGATGATGACGATGATGATGACGAAGAGGAATCTGCTGCTGACGATGGTTATGATGGTGACACTGACGATGGTGATGGTCGTTCGGACATGTGCAAGGCAGAGGCAGGCATGGGAGGATGTGGGGGGGGAGGAGAAGAGGGGGACCCCGCGGCGCTATCTCTTCGAAAGGGGGACCCGACACCATTCTATGGTTGGGAAAAACCTCGTTCCTCGGGACTCGAGATCGACGCCGACATCGTCGACGCCGACGTCCGACGTCGACGTCCGACGACGACCGCCACCATGACGACGACGCAGACGCCTGGCGGCGGCGACGACGAAGACGACGACGTCCGACGCCGACGACGCTGGCGAAGCCGACGACGCCTGACGCCCGACGAGACGACGACGTCCGACCGCGGAGACGACAGCGCGACGACGCCCGACGACGCCCGGCGCTGCCCGGAGGGGCACGCGGCGACGCTGCCCGCGCGCGGGGCCCCGGCGCGCGCCGCCCGCCTGCGGGCCAGGTGGGCCGTGCCGAAGGTGCCGGCGCCCAGCTGCCTCGGGCGGGGCGGGCCGCGCCGAGGGAGGGCCGCCGGCAGCGGCAGGTCCGCGCGGCGACGGCCTCGTCCTCGGCAACGTCCTCCCCCTCGTCCTCTGCATCCTCCTCGTGGTCCTCCTCCTCCTCCTCCTCCTCCTCCTCCTCCTGCTCCTGCCCTCCGTCATCCTCGTCTGCCTCATCCTGGTCGTCCTCGGAGTTCCGGGTCCCCTTCCCGTCCTTCATGCTTCCTCCACCCCCTGCTCCCCACAACGCACCACCGCACAACGCGCGCGGAAGTGTACGGCAGATCCGTGTCGTGACGACCCCGGCGATGGTTCCTCACACCGCATAGAACGTTCAACCTTGGACCATCGGCGGGTTCTCGATCGCCAGATCACTCCGTCTTGGCTGATCTCTGGCCCAGAGGCGGCCTTTCAGCCTGGAGCGCCCGCGTCGGGGTCGTCGCCGCGTCGGCACGACGCGAGCGTACCGCTGGGGGGCCACCACCCCCTCCTGGGAACCGAGCATCGGCGACGAGGAGGGCACGTCGAGGACCGAGGGGGCCTTGGACGCTTCTGGGCGCCTCCGGGGCTCCCGCGCGGCGCCTGGGAGTCCAGGCTCCCGGGGGGGGGTCCGTGTCCTGGAGGAGGCGGCGACTCCCTCGTTGGTGACCTCCCCCCTGGCACCCCTGGAGCAGACGCGACGAGCAACGACGACGTCGCCGCCGACGACGTCTCCGACGAAGCGTCTCCCAACAATCCTGTGGTGCGGGGTCGGCGTTTTGAGTCAGCAGCGCCCCGCGTCACTTCTCCTCCCGCCTCCACCGGCCACTTGCAGATTTGGTGCTCGCGCTGTCAATGCTCTGCTCTCCTCGGGCTTTGCAGCGTCGCCGCTCTCCTCGGGCTTTGCAGCGTCGTCCGCACCTCGCTTCTGCGCATGTCCGAGCTCCGTAGCTGCCTGCACGCCCTCCCGATGGACACTGCGCAGGCTTGGGGAACGCTTGAGAGGTCCCTTCCAGTGTCTCCTCCCTTGCCTCTGCCCTCCACGCCCTCCTCTCCGCCTCTGCCCCCCGTGGCCCCACAAGGAGCCCCACCGAGGGCCCCCATGGGCGTGTTCGCATGCGCTCCCGCCACCCACGCCTGGCCCGACCCTCGCACGGTTCGTGGCCCCCTAGGGAGCAGCAGCGCAGGTCCCAGTGGGCATGCTCACATGCGCTCCCGCCGCCCACTTCGGCCCACCTCCCACACGCTTCGTGGCCCCATACGGACCTCCAGCGAAGGTCCCGGTGGATTGGGGAAGAACTCACCGGGTGTCTGAGGCTCGCTCCGCATCAACGGCTCGTCGCCGCGTCGTCACCGCTGCCGCCGTCGCAACGTGGCGCTTTGGAGAACTGCTTGCTTTCTGGGCGTTTCCTGGGGGCGGCTAAATGCCTGGCGCGGGCCTGCTGCCGCCTGCAGGAGGACATTTCCTTGCAGGTAACAGGTGGGCGACAAAAAGAGAGGGGGCTCACGCGAGATGGCATAGCCACCTTACACGCGGGCCGCCAGCGCGGCACGCCACATTGAAAGCGAGAGCGCTTGCGCGCGGCCTTACGCGGACAGCTTACGCGCAAGTGCCGGTGAGAACGACCCCGTTTTTCTGCGCCGCCCAAGTGGAACCGCGCGCATGTACACGTAAGGTACCTGAACTCTGTCCTAAGTCAAGACATAGTATAGCATATAAGTTTTTGGCCGCTTCTCAGGGCGACAGTTCTTGAAACAAATAGATTCACTGTGTTTGGGCAGACATTTGCCACTTAGCGGCAAAATGACATGGTATAGTGGACATAGTCCTGGTCGCGAAACAATGATGCGCTCGTGGAGGTGAGGACAATGCGAGGACGTGAGTGGACAAGCGAATTGCCGGGAGCGCTTCAACAGGGTACCCAGACACCCCACATCGTGATATTTGTTGACAACGCCTACACCCCAAGGTCTCGACCCATTTCCCTTGGCCCGCGTTTCACCCTGAGTAGTTTTTGAAGTGCTGGGGCCCAGCGAGGGTCCCTAGAGGCCGAACACAACAACAACGACACTAACTCCAGTCGTGACGTTGACACGACGAGAGACGGGCCTGGGTAGCAGAGTCTGTTCAGCTGGTGCAAACTGCGAGGTGCGAGGCAGGATGCGATCAGAAGCGACTTGTGGCTTTCTCCAGGGGAGAGGGTGGCAGGGAAACGCGGCGGGGGGCGGTGCGTGGAGGAGAGAATGGCCCCTCGCTGGTCGTGCCTCAAAGTGCTGGCAGGAACAGTGTCTAGGCGGTGCCCACGACGAAGACGACGAAGGCGACGATCCTGGCGTCGCATTTTTTCGCACACGGCGGTTTCGCTACATTTCGAGCCACAGCACCCTCGCGGATCGATCTGGCTCAACCGACGAAGCCTAGGGCTCTGGTCATGAATCCCTGCGATGTTGCATCTCTTTTCTAAAGTCGGATCATAGGCATCGACGACAGAGCCCTGTCCTGGGCCCCAGGAAGCAGAAAACGCACAGCGAAAAAAGAAAAAAGGGGGAAACCGATGTTTCGTGATCAAAGGCGGGCGACTTGCCCAGAGCGCGGGGGCGCGGTCGGGGGCGGGGCATGGGGGCGCAGTCGGGGGCGCCGGGGACCCCGAGCCCCGCAGCAGCCTCATCTTCTCGTAGTCGCCCCAGATGTCGCGGGAGATCTTGTTGACGAAGAACTCCCTGCGGAAAGACGGGGGGGGCGACGTGGCAAGTTCCAGCAATCCTGAACCCAAGAACGTGGTCTTCTCTTGGCGGCGCATGGGTTGCTTCCGCTGGCTTGCGCCGGCCTTCCGCCGGCGGAGGCGGCCTCTTTTTACTTTCGCGGGCTTCCACCGCCCTCCTGCCGCCTTCCGCCGAGGAAGTGATGACAACTTCTTCGGTCCTCGAAGGCGAGGCACTTTCGGGAACGCCTCATGTGTCTTTTGCAGCGCCTGCCCGACGCTCGGGGTCTGTCCATATCCACCGAACTGCAAACGCGTCCCCCGAGGAGGCCGTGGAGTGATTGGTGTGGTCTAGCTCCCGAGACGCTCCAGGATGCGTCAGAATCGCCAAGAAAGACCTTCGAGACACCGCAAGTGTCCTTCACGATTGCCCGTGGTGGCATCCCAGGTTAGGCAGCAACCCTTGGGATTCCTGCGCGGGCACGGGCGAGGGTCGACAAATGTGCATGAAGCCAGTTTAAACCAGCTTAGGCCAAGTATGTTCAGATTGAAACGGATCGAGACAGCTAAGTACGTAGGGACTGATGCATACCTGAACCTCCCAGGACATCCGACGTAACCGAAGTGCCTCCTTCTTAATGTAACCGAAGTGTCACTTGGAACCGACAAGAAGAACAGCATACACGACAACACTACCAATAACCAATGAACGTCTCCTGGTCTGCTAGACAGAAATGCTTCAAGCTGGTATCAACGAGGACCCCTGAGACCTGAAGATGGCCCTCAGATGCCCAAGATGACTCAAGATAGACCGCTGGTGAGCCAAGATGCTTCACATGTTCTCGAGATGGTTCAATAAGTCCTCAAGATGCCCCCAAGATGCCCACCCAATTAAAATACCCACTGGGTCGAACGTGGCCACAATATTGCCAAGTGTGGAATCAAACGACGCGCAGAGAAGGCAAGCTGCTCTCAGGATCGGCCGTGATGGCCCGACATGTCACTAAGATGGCCCCACTGCGCCCCCTAATCTTGTCAGGGGTGTCAAGAGCAACGAGGAGAGAAGCAGAACACGGACGCAAGAAGGCCGGCAGACGTCCACAGCCCCTGCCGCTGAACCATGATGTCACAGGGCGGAAATTGCTCGCCAGCGACCACAGAGGGAGAAGAGTCCGCATCCATGACCCAGCGGGGCCCTGCAAGCGAACGTGCCTGTATGATCCTATTCTCTGCTACTGCGATCTTCACTTCTGGAGCCGGACGCCTCGTAGGTCGAGCATCAATTCCCGGACCCTGGACTTCTCTGGAGGTGCGTTCTGGCCAGAACTTCGAAGGACATCTGGCCACAGCAACGAGAGGCCTCCGGCGGGCTTCACATGGCAAAGAAAAACACATGAACATAACGGGTCGACGGTCCGCACGGACCGTCGGAAGCCTTCTCCGACAACAGAAGTTGGCGGCGCGCACGCGGGGGTTGGTAGGGGAGGGGGGAATGCTCCTTAGAAGGAGGCTGCTTCTCAGAAGGCGCCGACCCTGCATCTACAGAGGAGGCCCGCGCCTTCAAAGGGGCAGGAGTGCTTCTGAGAAGCCTTCCCCCTTCCCCCTGCCCCCTCGTGCGCGCCGCCAGAAGACGTCGAACCTCATTGAAGGGGCCCCAGGACACACAAATCAATACACACAAATAAAAATATTCCCCATATTTTCCCATATGTTTTGGGTTTCTGTCTTCCCCCCCACTTCCCGTATTTTCTCATAGTTTCTGGGGAGTCGAGGATTAATTGTGTCTGTGTGTTTTTGTCCCCTCCTGACTCATGGTGCCAAGACGCCGGAGCTCGGGCGGCGGCCCGCCTGCTGAGCGTCGCTGGGCGGCTGAAGGCGTTCCTGGGAGGGCGCCGGCTGCCGCACATCACTACACTCCGATCCTGCCGGTCGTTGCTTACCGGGGGGATATCCTCGAAGATCCTCAGAACGTGCGTTATATAAGGCACACGTGTGTTTGTCCAACGAGGTGCAAGATCTTCGGCACCGCCAGTTTTCTGAGCCCCCTGGCCGCCTGAGGCCCCGCCCGCCCTCGCCCTGTCTCCCTAATTAGGGCTACCCGCGTCCCGTTTAGCTCTTGACCGGAAGGGGCCCGCTCCCGACCCGCCGACCAAAAAAGTTTGTCCAACGAGGCCCTTCAATGTGACATGGGCGGCGCAACGAGGGCCGGCACAGGCTGCGCGCTATCGGCGGGCACGAGCGAGGTAAACCCACGCTCAGGCAAACTTACGTTCCAAGGATCATCGAGATACGTGGGGGGGAGAAGCGTGCACCGTTTGTGCCCCTGTTGGGTCCCAGAGGCCTCTTCAGGGCCCCTGTTAGGGCACAGAAACTGCACCAGGTGCACCTTTCATCACCGCCCTCCCCCGTTCGTCGCCCCCCACGACGCAACGCCCGGTGCACCGATCTGGGCCGAGGCTGTGGGGGAACAGAAGGATGCCGATGCCGCGACTCGCCAAAGGTCTCTCCGATGATGCGTTCTGACAGGGACTTCGGGGCGAATCTGGCCGTGGCAGATTGGCTTTCTTGGACGAGCAGCGGTCTGCGGTGCCTTGTCCCTCTCAAACTTGGTCCGGGTGTGCAGTTGGCCCCCTCCGAGATCCGCCGCAGCAGGGCGGTGAACAGCTCGAAGAACTCGTCGGGATCCATTGCGGAGGACTCGTCTTGGTCGAACTCCGGGACGGGGGCGGGGAGTGGCCGAGAGGCCAGACGGAGCTCCACCGCTTGCAACGCAGACTCCGCCTCCGACCCGGCAAGTCCACGACGACAACGACCACTGCAACATGGAATGCGTCTGCAACGACGACGGCGCTGGCGACGACGGCGCGGGCGATGACGATGGCGACGACGACGACGACGACGACGACGACGACGACGACGACGGCGGCGACGGCGGCAGCTGCGACGACGACGGCGATTCCGACGATGGCGCTGGCGCGGCCACGATGGCACCGGCCACGACGACGGCGGCGACGGCGACGGCGACAGCGACCGTGGCGACAACAACGGCGACGGCAGCCCGTGTATACCACGGCGGCCGCAGCCCCCGACGCCTCCCGCGGCGGGGCCCGGGGCTGGACGCCCTCCCGCTGCGCACCCGAGCTGGGCGCTCCTGCGCAGCGCCGGGCACCGAGTGGGCTCACGACGGCCACTCGCACGCCGGGGCCTACGAAGACCCTGGCGCTCCCTCGCCGGCGCTGCTTCACGGGGGGGGGATGGTACATCGAGGGGGGGGAGGCACGCACCCCTTGCGTGCCCCCTTGTGGGCCCCAGGGGCGCCCCTTCGGGGCACGGAAGGTGCACCCGTCTCCACCCACCCAGACGCAGATCGGGCCCACGATCGAGCCCGCTCGGCGGCTGAGCGGGCGCAATTCCGATCGCGGCATCGGACGATTGTCCAAGGGGCTCAAACGCGAAATAGGCTCAGAAGGGAGCCCCAAAGGAAAGAGGACCACCGTGAAGAACATGTGTCATCATGGAATGGGCTCCTGATGCGTCGTTGTCAGCTTCCCAGAGCCCTCCCCTACCTTCAGCCCGAGACCCCCGAAGTAATGAATATTTCGCAACGTCGACCCCCTGATGTCTCAACCGCGACCGACGAGATCTGTCGCTTCCAATTTTGCTTCAAATTCGATTATCAGTCGCAACCGATTTGCTTCAATAGCGGTCGACACCGATCAGTCACGACTTGAGCGGCCCCGATCTAATGCGATCTAGAGACGACAAGATGGGCACGAAGAATTAAATACGAATAATTCGAAATATTATACACGAGTAGTGCAAATCAGTCCAACGGTAAATGCAGTCGTTTGAAGTGTGGTGTATAATATATATATATATATATATACATACATATATACATATATACATATATACATTTGTATACACGGTACTATAAATATAATATATAATAATGTATATATTATGGTTAAACTATTTATATATAAAAATGTATACAATATCACACATATAATAATGTATATATAATACAATATATGTACATATATATATACATATATATGTACATATATATAATATAATATTCATATACATATATATATATAGTATGCGTACATCGACGGCACGGCTTCACAAGGCCGTCGCTCTGACTCCAAGGGCAACGCGCGGTGGCAACCAGCCGCCCCCGCCCCCACCCACCGGCATTCACTGACAAGACCTCGGACAGGAAGGAGACAGCCACCCTCCGCTACGCAAGGAGTGGTGGAACACGTGCTGGGACCACGGCCATGGCCCATGGCCCAGGCGTGCCCGCGCGGGGCAGGCCATATTAGATTCTATCATTACCTTCAACACAAGTGGGAACGGATGGCGCGGGAGCCCTGAATGACGAGCCACGGATCAGAGATGCGAACAAGGATATTTCAGGGGCCGCGGCAGTACAGATGCGAACAGGGATGCTTCAGGGGCCGCGGCAGCACTGATGCGAACGAGGATGTTTCAGGGGCCGCGGCAGCACAGATGTGAACAGGGGTATGTTCAGGGCCCGCGGCAGTTGACCACGTCAAAACTCTCGGAGGCATAAGCGCAAAGAACAGTCCACGTACGGGGCAGGGCAACGTGAGGAGGAGGAAAAGAAAGAGGAGGAGAAGCAACTGCAGAAGGAGGAGGGGGAAGGGGGGGGGAGGAGGAAGAGGATGCGGATGAGGAGGAGGAGGAAGAGGAGGAGGAGGAGGAGGAGGAGGAGGAGGAGGAGGAGGAGGAGGAGGAGGAAGGGCAGGGCCCCCCCCCATCCCCTCGCAGGAGGGAAGGGCAGGGGTGCCGATGGTCATATAGCCCAGGCCCAGATCGGCGAATCGGCAAGGACACAATCCCCTTGGGCGCCCGCGTCGAAGATTACCGAAAGAACGGTTGGCCACGCGGGCCCACTGGCCGCGCCGATGAATCATCGGCGCCCTCGGAATCATCAAGGATGCAAGGGCACCCCGGAGAAGGTTAGATCCTCATTTTCATGTCTTGAGCTGTCCACGGTCAACGGTGGCATCGCTTGCCACGCCTGTTTATCCCAACGCCACCGCGCAGCGGCGCGCCGCCCGTCGCCCGCGGGCGGCTGCAACAGGTGGGGCAACGCGAGTCTGGAGGTGCCCGTGCGTGCGTGTTCCTCCTCCTCCTCCTTTCTCCTCCTCTTCCTCCTCCTCCTCCCTCTCCTCCTACCTCTCCTCCCCGTCCTCCTCCTCCTCCTCCTCCTCCTCCTCCTCCTCTTGACTCTCCTCCCTCGCCTCCCCCTCGAAAACCTCGGCTCGTTGGGGGCGCGGCGCCCTGGGCGCGCCCCGCCCGGGGACGGCCGCCCCCTCGCGCCCGAGGCCGCCGCTCTCCATCTCAAACCTTGGCGTAGTCCACCGCCGCGAACTCCTTCCCCTCCGACAACTCGGCGACGCGGCCCTGGACCGTCTCGCACAGGCGCTCGAGCCTGGGCCCGAGCTCGTCCTTCAGGGCCTTCACCGCCTTTTTCCGGGCCGCCGGCGCGGGGTTCGCCGGGATCGTCTGCGTGATCATCAGCAGCACGTACGAGTACAAGACGGTGTCGACTGCGTTCTTGTGCACTGATGCGGCCGACGTCATCGCCTCGACGGGCAGGACCATGCCGCAGCCGTCTTTCTGGATGTCGCGCAGGCGCTGCAGCGCGACGCCGAGCGCAGCACTTCCAGCGTGCAGCCGCGCATAGTTCGGGTTCGAGAGGAGCTCCTTGATCAACGCGGTGTTCTCCAAGAACTTTGGATCCTGAAGGTGAGCCATCCATCCGGAGGGGGTCCAATCGTCCAGGGCGCGGGTGAGCGCCGCCACCTCGCCGCGCCACTTCGCGCGGAAGACCTCGATCGCATCCACGGCCTTCGCGCGGAGCGCCTTGGGGTCCACGCCCAGCAGGCGGTCCAGGGAGTCGACGCGCGGCTGGCCCTCGACCCGCGGCTCCGCAGCCTTGTCCGCCAAAGCAAGGAAAGCCTGCTCGTCGGGGACATTCAGAGAGACGCGAGCGAGCGAGAACGCCGTCGACGCATCCTGCGAAATGGACACGCCGCCCGCAGACTCCTTGGCTGGGCTCGAGACACCCATCCCCGAGTCGCCCCCCCGCTCCTCGTCGCCCTCCCCCGTCCGTCCTCCCACTGACCACTCCACCTCCTTGCCCTCTTCTCGTATCCCTCCTCCTCTTTCTCCTCTGGTGGGTGGGGGTGGTGTGTGTGTGTGTATGTGTGTATGTGTGTGTGTGTGCGTGTGTGTGTGCGTGTGTGTGCGCGCGTGCGTGCGTGGGTGCGCGCGCGCGTGCGTGGGGGGAGGGTGAAAGGCCGCGTCCCAGACCGCGAGGTCCACCTAAGAAACTAGAAACTCTACAGAACCGACTTCCAACCTTTAGATCCATCTAGATCTAAAGGTCGGAAGTCGGCTCAAAACTACAGAACAAATCTTGCCCATTGCCAGGTTTCTGGCCCTGCGGGCGCCTCAGTGGGCAAGAGCTGTTTCGGGTGAGATCTCCAGACGTCTCAGGTGGACCTCTTCGGGCCTTGCACGGGGGGGGGGGGGGGGCCTCGAGCCCGGCCCAGCCTTGGCCTCAGTGGTACTCAGCTTGATCAGCTTCCCCGTCGCCGCCAGCAGCTTCTGCAACACGGTGGCGTAGCTGATCTGGCGGAGCAGCTTTTCCGCGCCGAAGTCCTTCGCCATCACCTCTAAATTCATCATCTCCGTTTCCCCGAGGAACAGGGGGCGCCGATCCGCGCACTTCCCCACGAAGTTGACGTCGTCGAACGGCAGCTGAACCATGCCAGGGGCGATGACGTCCTCGATGCCATCTGCCAGACTACGGACCAACGGCGAGAGCACTGCGATGGCCCGAGCGTTGAGGGCGCCCCGGAGACCCGTCCCCTCGAGGATCGATTTCGTGAAAAACTTTTCGAGCTTCAGAGCGTCATCCTTGAATGTCTGGAGGTCCCCGGTGAGAGACTTCGACAGGGACCAGGAGGCGGTGTCCGTCAGCAAAGCCTTCATCTCCATGTCGGTCAGCTGCTGCGAGTTGCTGACTCGGACGGCTGCGTCCCTGGTGTTCTTCACGATGCCAATGCCGCGATCGCAGGCCTGCAAGCACGCGAGCAACTCTGCGTCGACGCCGTTGCGAACCAAGCACTCGGCCGCCGTCAACATCGGGTACGCACTAGCCAGGGCCGCGAGCCTCGGCTCCGCAAGCGCCAACGCCTCCGTGCCGTCGCCCTGCTCGCCCTTGTCCTTGCACCACACGGCGATCTTGATGAAAATCTTGATGCCCCAGGTTGCGACCCGACCCCAGCACGCGCAAGCTGAGCCCAGACTCTCGCCCTGCTGGGCCTCGACCGCAGCAGTTTTTTTCCCGCCGAGAATCTTGTTCGCCGCGTTCAGCTTCTTGCAGCACATGACGAAGTTCTGCTCTTCCGACACCAGGGCGTTGCCACTCGAGCTCATGGCCGTGATGACATTGCACACTACGGCCAACACCTTCTCCACGGACTTGTGCATACCATCCCTCTCATTGTACACCGAGGAAGCCACGGAGAGAAGGTCCCGACCTCTTGGGAACACGGTGAGCGCCTCAATGAACTTGCAGCTCTTGTCAGCCGCAAGATCGACCACCTTCTTCAGCATGTCGAAGTCGCTAGTGTGAGGGTTGAGGACGACACGCACGTTCGCGAAGCCCTCAACCACGGCTCCGCACAGATCAACCCTGCCGGCAGACTCGGCCAAGGCCGCGTCGAGCTTCTCGAAGTTGCCCTTGATCGAATCCACCGTCGTCCCGCGAGCGCAATCCGAGACGCGGTCAGCCGCCAAACGCACCTGTTTCGCCTCCACTGGGGCGTACTGGCACTCGATCATCTTATGCGTGTCCAGCTGGAGCCAGAAGTCGACGCCGTCACTCGAGCTGACGAGGTCGGCGTGGTTCATCCTGAGAACGGGCAGCGGCCAAGTCATGCTGGCGACCGGCGGCAAGCTCAACGTGTGCTGGACCTGGCAGGGGACGACGCAAGAGAGGGGAGAGGGAGAGAGGGAGAGAGAGAGAGAGAGAGAGAGAGAGAGAGAGAGAGAGAGAGAGAGAGAGAGAGAGAGAGAGAGAGAGAGAGAGAGGAGAGAGAGATAGAGAGAGAGAGAGAGAGAGAGAGAGAGAGACAGAAGATAACAGACAGACAGACAGACAGACAGACAGACAGACAGACAGACAGACAGACAGACAGACAGACAGACAGACAGACAGACAGACAGACAGAGACAGAGACAGAGACAGAGACAGAGACAGAGACAGAGAAAGAGACAGAGACAGAGACAGAGACAGAGACAGAGACAGAGACAGAGACAGAGACAGAGACAGAGACAGAGATTGAGGTAGAGACAGAGACAGAGACAGAGACAGAGACAGAGACAGAGAGAGAGAGATAGAACTAAATAAAGAAAGAAATGAAGAAACAGAGAGAGAGGGAAGAGAGAAAAAGAGAGAGAGAGAGAGAGAGAAAACAAAAAGAAAGAGAGAGTGAGAGAGAGAGAGAGAGAGAGAGAGAGAGGCGATGGGGGAGGCGGCAGGGCGGGGAGGAGGAGGAGGGGGAGGAGGAGGAACTGGAGGAGTGGAGGACGAGGATGCGGGCGAGGGCGGGAAGGAGGAGGCGGGGGGAGGAGGAGCGCGCTCATCTTCTCCCTCCTCCCTCTCCTTCACCTCCCCCCCTCTTCCTCCTCCTCCTCCTCCTCCTCCTTGCTCTTTCCTCCTCCTCCTCGTCCAAATCCCATGCCTGACCTCCTCCTCATCCTCCTTTGTTGCTCCGATGGGTTCCCGAGGCCTCCTTGAACTTCGCGGAGAAGGACCCGTCGAGCTGGGTGCCGTCGTACCGAACGAACACCTGGATGACGTTCATGACCGACTCGAGCCTCTTCCTGTCGACGAGCATGATGTCGTACGCATCGACGTTATCCACCGTGTCGATGTAGGACGATAGCCTCCCGAACAGATCCCGGAGCTGGCGCAGCTTCGTTTTGCTCTCGTCGCCGAGGTACTTGCGGAAGCACGGGGAGCTCGCGTCCACGACCACTTTCTGGAAAGCCTCGACTTCAGCACGAGCTCCGACGACAGGGTCCAGCTTCGGCCTGCCAGGCTTCTTCTTGTCAGACACGGCCTGCTCCTTCGGGGCTGCCCTGGGGGCCTTCGCCGGAGTCTCCTTCTCGCCCGCGCCCTCGGCGACGGGCTTGGCAGAGCTGGCCCTCTTGCCGCCCTTCCGCGCGGCAGGCGTGCCCGAGCACGAGGGCCCCGGAGGTTGCGGCGTCAAGGTTGACTGAACCTGCTGAACGGGCTTCACCATCACGTGCCTCGAGGAGTCCTCGAAGGGATCGCGCATGTCGTCGCCGTCGGCGCCCGCCCACTTCGGAGGCTGCGCGTCCCCAACAGCGCCGGTGGACTGGCCGCCGCCGCTGCCGCTGGCGCCGGACGAGCTCGCGCCAGTTGGCTGACCGACGTTGCGCGCCAGCAAACCGAGCAGCGAGCCGCCCCCGCCGATCGCACCGGACATCAGGGAGCACAGACTCATGCCGCCAGATGCCGCCTGAGGGAAGAGCGCGCGCGCAAGTTTCCCCACGTCCTCCTCCTCCTCCTCCTTCGCTCCTCCTCCTCCTCCTCCTCCTCCTCCTCCTCCTCCTCCTCCTCCTTTGCTCATCCTCCTCCTCCTCCTCCTCCTCCTCCTCCTCATCCTCCTCCTCGCCCTCCCCCTCTTCCTCCTCCTCCTCCTCCCACCGGCCCTCCCTCTCCTCCTCCTCCTCCTCCTCCTCCTCCTCCTTCTCCTCCTCTCCTCCTCCTGACCCGCTTCCTCCTCCTCCTCCTCCTCCTCCTTTTTCCTTTTCCTCCTCCTCCTCCTCCTCCTCCTCCTCCCCCTCATCATCGTCATCATCATCATTACCTCGGCCGGTCTTCCGACTCCACATGGCCTTGCCAGCCCCCATGGTGTCCTTCATCAGGGCGGCGGTGGCCATGAACTTCGCCTCCATGTGCCCGTCGCCGAGCTGGTTGTTGCCGTCGTCGATGGTGACCTTGCGCTGCACCTTCTCCACCTTCTGCCGCTTCAACTTCATGATGTTGGACTCGGGAACGACCACGCACTTCTCCTTCCGCGCATTGTAGCCGACGACGTGGCCGAGCCCGTTGGTCGTCGGGTCGCCCTTCTCCATCACGTAGTCTGCGTACGGTATGTACAAGTCGTCGGGCTCCTCCCAGATGAGGTTGTCCTCGCTGAGGCGATTGATCTCCTGGGCCTGCTGCCAGTCAGCCTTGAAATCATAAGTGCCAGCTTCCTTGATCTTGCTGGTTAAAAAACTGCGGTAGCCCTGGAACTCCTCGTTGTGCTGCTGACCTTTCCCGAGCTCCGCTGGCATCTCGGACAGCTTCACGCGAGGGCGGTAGCGGCCGTGCCAGACCCGCATGCATATGTAGCACACCCTGCCGTCGTTGCGCCACATCCCGTTGACCATCTTCGGCGGATACCCCCAGCGCCGAAACTCACTGATGCCGCAGGGGTCCTCGTCAGAGTCTCTCCCGAAACACAACTTGCATGCTCGTTCGTCCGGGATCGCCGTCTTCATCTCCTTCTCCCTCCGCCTCTTCTCCGAGCTGCCCGGCTCCGACACAGACGCCATGGCTGGCGGCGGTCGACAGGCCGAGGAAACGCTGGCTGCGGTCACGCCAGCGAGAGAATACCAGAGCGCCGATGGGACCGCCGAGCATGCGATAGACGGCCCAGGACACGCGCGCGCCGCCGGGCCGCGGCCCACGGCTCGCGGCCCTGTGGCCGCGGACCAGCAGTTGCGCGGAGCCCTTGGCCCTAGCGCGCGCAACGGCCCCATCGGCGCCATCAGAGAGCTGGCGAGGGGCGGGCGAACGCCGACGTCGCAGGGCACGCCAGGCTGGGCGCCCTCGGAACCCAACCCTCGGGCCAAAGAAAATCTCACGCCGGCAACGTCCTCGCAAGGGCCCCCGGGCGAGTCGCCTAACTTCGCGCTTCGCGAAACGCGATTGCCGATGTGAATGTTATATTCGCGCC